CGGTCTTGGAGGCTGGGAGAGTGAGTCGAGCGTGCGTGGCGTGTTCGAAAGTGGGAAGGAACTGAATGTCTTTTCGGGTGAGGTTAAGGCTGGCGCTGAACTTGTTGCCCTTGCCGACCGTGAATTCCCCGCTGCGGAGCAGGCCTGAGTATGCCAGGCAGCATGCGGCGTACACGGCGGTGTGACCGGGGATGGTGCCTGGGCGAAGCTGCGCCAGGAGAGTGGAGAGGATGGGGAGGGTGATGGGTTGTACTGGGCGCCGCTCGCGTTCGCCGTGGTAGCGCTTAATGCCCCGGATAAGACGCTGGACCAGGGGCGACTCAACGGCGGAGAAGGGAAGGTTTGCGTCGACGTGGAGGGAGCGGACTGCAGAGAGGTAGGCCTTGATGGTCTTGGGCTGGACGCGGCCGCCGATGCTCGCAATCCATGACAGGACGGCTGGCTCGGAAGCGGGGAGGATGGAACCGTCGGGGTTATAGAGGTTGTTAAGTTGGACGTGGAGGATGAATTGGCGTTGACCGGTTGAGTACGTGCGTCTGGTGCTCGAGGCGAGGCCGTGCCATAAGTAAAACGCGACGGTTTGGGGGTGGTGCCGATTTTGTTGGTACCACCAAGCTGGAGGCGCTTCGAGCTTGGCTTCTGATCGAGCCAGGGAGCCATTGTGAACATGCGTGAAAAAGAAAAGCGGGACGCGGCGTCAGCGATGCAATTTTCAGAGGAAGAGAGCCACTCAGAAGAAAATGAAAAATCCAGCCGGCATGCCAGAGCGATCAAGTGGCGCACAAACTTCATTGTGGCTGCAGACCGTATTGACTTGTTCCGTATCGCGTTAAAGACCGCGTCGTTGTCCACATGGAAGATAATGTGCTTCCCCCTAAAATCGTTGCCCCAGCATAAGACGGCGTATACTACTGCGAGCATTTCCTTGACTTGGATGTGTTCCCGTCGGAGACGTCGCGGGCAGCGGGCGGCAAACCATTTGGAACCGAGATGGCCCCCCAGGCCTTTTTTGCCGCTTGCGTCCGTGTAGATGTTGAGTGCGTCGCGAGAAGGTGAAATGAATCGAACCCCGTTCCAGACTGGTGCGACCGTGCGCCACCATTCTATGTCCCGCTGGGCTGCGCGAGGAATGTGGCGTTTGGCAAACGGAGAAGCAGGGAAAGATGAAGTGAAGTCGTAGATTGCGCGGATGAAAGCGCGGGCGACGGGAATGACTTGCGAGGCGAACTGGAGGAACCCGGTGAGTTCTTCAAGCTCCTTGCGTGTGGCGCTGCGCCGCGCGGCCCAACTCGCGGTGAGGTCCCGGAGGTAGTCCAGTTTCTCAGCGGGGAGGCGGACCTCCATCGTGACGGAGTCAAGTTCCAGGCCGAGAAACTCGATTGTCGTGGCGGGACCGACGATTTTGGAGGGTTGGAAGGTGAGCCCCAGTTGTCTGCCTAATTTGAGAGTCCACGCGAGGGATTTGTTGATGAGTGAAATGGGGGTGACCGGCGGAAAAATGGCGAGGAAATCGTCAAGGTAATGGCGTATGCGTGCTGGAATATTACGTTGCAGGATCCAGTGGAGGGCCTCGGCGAAGAGGTTGAAAATATAGGGCGCTGATCGTGCCCCGAACGCGAGAACTATGTCATAGTAGAGCTTTCCCCGCCATTCGAAGCCTAGGAGTGGCCAGTCTTCGTGTCGCACCGGGATGTGGCGGAAAGCTGCTTCGAGGTCCAGCTTCAACATCTGGGAGCCTGGACCAGATGCGATGAGGTCGCGTATTGCCTTATCCACCATATCGTAGTTAATTGTGGCTTCCGCGTCGGTTATTCCATCGTTCACGGAAGTTCCTTCCGGCCAAGAAAGGTGGTGTATACGGCGCACCTTCGAAGATCGTTTCCTCGTGACTGCCCCGATGGGCGAAGTTCGGAAGTTGGTGAACGGTGGAGAGGCAAACGGCCCCAGGGTTCGCCCGCTGGCGATTTGCGCGGTGATGTCGGCAGATATGGCTGCGACGACGGAGGGATCTGCCATTGCAGATTTGAGGTTCGTGCACGTCTGACTGATGTCGCGCGCCCCCGAGAAACCCAGGTTGGCACCAAAGCGTATGATTTGTAGTAACGTAGATACAAATTGCTGCTCGGGGTACTCATGTAAATAATAAAGCCATGCTGCCTCGTTGAGCGTGGAGGAGACGTGAGGCAGCGCGGATGTGTCGTCGAGGGGAGCGTTCGCCCGTGGGTCAGTGTTGGGGCGAGGGGGAGTAATTGGGATAGAGATATCGAGAGTGTCCAAAAATGAAAAGCCGAGAGACGGGGGGCCTTTGCCTGATGCTGGGTTAGGGCGAGCCGGTGGTGTAAGGAGGCAACAGCTCGCCCTGCCTGACACCTAGTCCTTGTGTTGGCTCTTGCCATGATCGGCTTTTCCGCACGTACTACATGTGTGCGGCCGCCCCCAAGGGCACGGCGTGGTTGGGCACCTGCCCTCGTTGTATTTACGACAGGGTTCGTTAGGATTGGCTGCGGCGCGGGTTGTGGAGTTGGGTTTGGGAGTTTTGGAGGGGGATGGTTTACGATGAGCATAGACGTGCTTTGAGAGTAAGTCGTTATCGCGACGTCCCCACTGGGAGAAGTCCCCCGCTGCCATTTCTGCGCGACGGCGGTTGAAAAATACTGAGTGGTATGCGAAAACCGCTGACCATTCATATTCCGCAATGAGTTCTAAGAGCTGCTCGTTGTAGGCCCAGAACGTGTCCGTGGCTGCCGCGTCATTGATGTGGAACGCGAGGATGCGGAAATATGTCTGGAGGGGAATGAGTACCGAGAAAGGGTTTTTGTACTCCTTTGCCGCACGGTGGCTTACTTCGAACTGATTTGTGGCGCCGTTGAATGTGTATGCTGTTTCCCTATCGCGGTTCGTGGGGTCGAGCTTGTGAAGGTCTGCAGCCTTGAATTCGTGCGTGATGATCGTGGCAAGGATGGCTGTTTCCACATCGGGGAAACGAGTGCGGAGGGAGAGGGGAGCAGCAGACGACGCACCGTTTGTTCCTACAGCGGCGATCGGGGGCACGAACGCGTCGATGGACGCTGGAGGCGCCGCGAGAGGTTGCGATGGGGCTGGCGTGGCGTCGATTCTTGCCATGAGTTGTGTCATCAGGGAGTGGAGCTGTGCGTGGGAGTTACGAATCTCCGCCACTTCGTCGGCCGAGAGAGCCGCTGGCTCGGCTGATGCAGGGGGGGGGGTCATGATGTGAGCTGAACTAGTGAAACGGCCGTCCGGTGCTCTGGGAGGCAAAGACGAATTTCTCATACACTGGTTACACGCGCTACGTTAATATTAGACCGCGATCTGTGGGCGAGATCGAAAATGACGCGTGATGTAATGTGGGTGTCTAATAAAACGCGGCTGCGAGCGCAGTGTGAGACGATGATTGTAAGTAAAGGTAAGTTACTTACCTGCGAGCGCAGTGTGAGACGATTGGGTTGTCGTTGCTGCGCTCGCAGATATTTAAGTGAATTATTACAATGAAAGGGTTGGCCAGACAATGAAGGGTGGCCGGATGTGATGGTGTGACGGGTTGAACAGGGGGCGCGGCATTCTGGTTGTCGCCCGAATTAACCCCGGGCAATCCTCCATCACTTTGCCCGGACCATTTCCTGCACGTGACCTGTTCACCCGCGTGACGCTGCCCACCTTGCCATTGATTTCCTGCACGTGATGCTGTTCACCATGGACTTGAGCCGCCACGAGTCGCCGCGCCGCACGTCGCCTGGCAGCGCGTGCGAGGGCCCGCCGCAGGACCCGTCCGACTTTCTGTGGCTCATGACCGAGGAGCCCCACCGCACGCGCCGCATGGCCATCATCAAGGCCCACCCCGACGTCACACGGCTCATGGGCCACGAGCCCCTCACCAAATACCTCGTCCTCGCCGTCGTCTGCGTCCAGCTCGCCCTCGCCGTCCTCCTCCGCCACACCCACCCCCTCTCCCCCGCCTTCCTCCTGGCTGCCTACGCCGTCGGCGGCACCGCAAACCACAACCTCTTCCTCGCCATCCACGAGATCACCCACAACCTCGCCTTCCGCGCCATCGTCCCCAACCGCCTCCTCGCCGTCTTTGCCAACCTCCCCATCGCCGTCCCCTACTCTGCCGCCTTCAAGGGCTACCACATCGAGCACCACAAGTTCCTCGGCCAGGACGGCATCGACACCGACCTCCCCACCCGCCTCGAGCTTCTCTGCCTCAACAACGTCCTCGGCAAAGTCTTCTTCGCGTACGTACCCCTCCCCTCCCCCCTCCCCCCTCTCACCCCCTCCCCAGCACTTTCCAAATCTTCTTCTACGCTCTCCGCCCCGGCTTCGTCCGCTCCCAGCGCCTCACAAAATGGCACATCCTCAACCTCCTCGTCCAGCTCCTCTTCAACTACGCTCTCCTCCACTCCCTCGGCCCCCGTCCCCTCATCTACCTCCTCCTAAGCAGCTTCTTCGCAGGCAGCCTCCACCCCTGCGCAGCCCACTTTATCGCAGAGCACTACCTCTGGGACCGCATGCACCAAGAAACATTCAGCTACTACGGTCCCCTCAACCTCCTCGCCTACAACGTGCGTTCTTGTCATCCTCATCTTTCCTACTCACCACACACACACCCAGGTCGGATACCATAACGAGCACCATGATTTCCCCTCCGTGCCATGGACACGCCTGCCTGCCCTCCGTGCCCTCGCACCAGAGTTTTATGACGTCCTCCCGTCCCACCCGTCCTGGCCCATGGTCATCGTCAATTTCATCCGCGACAAGGAAGTGGGGATCTTTGCGCGCGCAAAGAGGCGAGCAAAGCTGGATAAGAGTCATTGAGGTGGGGTCGCGAGTCGATGGCAGCAATATAGGATGCGTGTTCTGTAGCCTTGAATTGCAGTAATACCCTATGTGGCGCAACACATTGTTGATGGCTCTTTGTACATGCATCTATTTAAAAAGAGCAAAGAGCCCGAGACTGAAAAGGTAAAAATCGTTTCAAGAAATGCATCAGCCGGGAGTCGAACCCGGGGCTAGGCCAGATAAGATTATGGGAAGACCCAATGTTACCGTTACACCACTGATGCTTGTGCATATAAACTCAACGCGCTGATAGAAACCGACTCTAATTTAACCCCACTTGGAATCCGGTGTTTTTTGCCAACGTAGTAACGATTTTCTCCGACCTCTGAAAGGGCCTAGATACACGAGCTACATAAAGTTCCCTCTATTCTCAGCTTTGCGGTAACCATCCATCTTTCCGCAGACCCAGAGTGATTCAACATGTAGCTTGGCCGCAGAGGCCAAGAACCTTTCATGATCATTTGTGTTCTAGCCATCGTGAACGATGCTTGTGCTGTGCCGTTATCAGTCATTCATTGACTACATCGCGACGGTTCCGGGTTGTTCTCACAGCCTCAGAGACATTGACTTGTAATTTCAACTCGGAACTGTCACAAGTCCTCTCTCCAAAAAGGCACGAGATTCTCATCACCCCATAAATACATATGGGCTTCTCCCGCACGAGTATAATTCTACGTCCGATAAATATATATATGTATGTAGACATTTTCAATCGCATACCACCACTACCACTATCACATATCTATCCTAATCCTATTCGCGTCTTCGCAATGCCCCACGTCGACGTCGACACGCCCACCGGACCCATCGAACTCCACTACTCAATCGCAACGCCCACAAACCCCTCCAGCACCTCCGGCATCGTCCCCCACCTCCCCTGTATCCTCTTCCTCCACTCTGGGTATTCAGGCCACGAAGCCTTCGAGGGTAACGACGATCTCCCCCTCCCGTCCCCGACGCGCATCACTGAACACAGAACGTACACTCCACAGCTCAATTCTCCGACCCGCAACTCAGATACTCGTTCAACCTCATCGGCGTCGACATGCGCGGGTACGGTCTCACCAGAGGCCGCATCACACAAGAGGAATACTGTCCCGCTGACTCGGCAGACGATGTTTACCGATTCCTCGTGAGTGTTTTCCATTAATTAATTAAATAAACGCAGCGTCGCAGCGTCGACAACTTATGCCTCTTCTTCTTCTTCTTCTTTTTGAAAACACTCGATCTCCCACCCGTACACGTATTCGGCCTAGCCATGGGCTGCTGTGTCGCCCTCGAACTCGCATCAACACACCCAGAGTCCGTCTGCTCACTCACGCTCTGCTCACCGCTCCCCGCAACAGAGGTACGTCCCGTCTGCGGCTGCGCTGCTCCACTCTTCCCCTCCGTACCGCAGCGTAGCGCAAGCAGCAGTTGTTCTTAGCACCGGTGTTTTTGTCTTTCCAGCTCGACGATATCGCCGCCGGCCGCCTAGAAGTGTTCAACCTCTGGGTCCAAGCTTTCGACCACGACGGCCGCGGCCGCGGCCCACCCGGCGGTGATCATGCGACATTAGAAGACCTAACTATCGGCATCCAACAGCTTTGTTTTAATAATCAGCGGAACAGTCTTACTGACGCGTGAGTCGTTCGTCATCATCATCATCGTCGTGGGGATACAGATAGATGGATCGTTGACTCATATGTATGTGTTCCTTAGGCTCTCGAAAAACTCGCTTATCACCGCATCGAGAAACCGCGCGGGGACTCCACAGGCTGTGAAGGATACGTATCATGCGACGGTCGGCTGGTTCCTCAAACGGAGACCGCTCCCTCGCGAAGCGCTAGCCAGGGTTCGTATTCCTATTCCTATTCCTAATCCTAATCGCAATCGTCCCCCTCCCTCCCCTTGATCCCCCTCTGTCCCCCTCCTCCTCTTGCAACTCAGTAACTCAGTAAACATTAAACATCACTCCGCAGATCCAATGTTCCGTTCGCCTCATCCACTGCGAGGACGACGTAGCGTACCCGGTTCAGTACACGGAGGATCTGGAGGACCGTCTACGGGACGCGGGTATCGCCGACGTTGAGTTGCTAGAGGTTCCAGGGCCTCATTATGGGAGCGTTGTTAATCCTCAAGCGTACGTGTCGTTTATCGTATCGTTATCTCCTCCGCCCTCCGTTACAAAGACTGTGTTCTAAATGCATACAGAATCAACCCGATACTCCTCGGACATGCTCTTCACGCCTCGTCCTCGTCGTCGTCGTCGTCGTCCACAGGTGCAGACAACGGCACTGGCAACGGCACACAAAATCACCACCAGGCACCACCCACCGACTGCAGAAAGATGACAACGCCGTTCACGACACGGCTCGCTGAATATGGGTATAACCCCAACGAGGACGAGGACGATTTCGTCGAATGCTATCTATAATACAACTCCTTCATACCTCATATATATCTAGAAATTAGTATACCTATGCCAAAGCCCTCTTCGCGACTTCATCTTCATCTTCATATATCCATCCATCCATCTATCTACTACTCGATACTCGAAATACCCCGTACCCTCATGTCGCCTATATGTATGTATTTTTAGCGTCTTTATTTATGCTACCATAACCATAATTGGACAGAAGGGCTTGAAGCCCCTCCAGCCCCTCCGTATCGGACGTGAACAACTCCGGAACAGCTTATACCCAGTGTTCTTTGATGAAGAAAAAATAGAGTTTCTGAGCTATTGACGCCCAATCGCAATCGTCGGAGGCTCTACTGTCCCGGTTGTAGTTGTACATGTGAACGTGTGTGCAGCTCAGCTCAGCTCACGTCACTGTTCAAGGGGTAGCAGAAGCAGACTCTCGTTTTGCGTTTTCTGCGAGCTGATGCGAGCAAGCCACACTCAGTCTGTGAGGAATCGGGATCGAGAAAGGGATGAGAAGGCACCTGTGTGAGTTTTGTGGGATTCCAGTGGACGCGGACGTAGTCTATGTCTTCACGGGGCATCCACCATTCGAGGAAGAGGAAGAAGATGCAGTCGACGATTAGGATTATGGTGTATATCGGGCCTGCGAAGGGGCCGAGGTGCATTGTCCTGCCGAATAGCACACAGCACACAGCACAGCGTTGGACGATGGGTTATATGAATATGAATATGAATATGAGTTGATAGAGATTGAAATACAGAGACAAAGGGATTCATCGTACCGTCGCATGCGTTCATACAAGTCGATCTGTGGGGACTTGATGACTGCATCGTAAACTTTTTCGGTCCGTGCTGCGACGTCTTTCCAGTCGTAGAAGGTTTTGACGCGTTCGTGGGCTTTTTGGGGGTCGTGTGTCCCCGCTGAGATGATGCTGATGGCTTCGGATATTGCACGGAATACGTCTGGGGACTAGGCGGTGAGCCACACACACACTGCGACGCTCGAGGTGATATTGATATTGGGACGAACCATCTTCTTCGGGCTCGGCGAAGCTTATCATGTCTTTAGGAAGAATCTCGGGCACGCCTCCGACGCGTGTAGAGACGACGTATAGACCTGCACATGCTGCTTCGAGAATGGCGATGCCGAACGATTCAGTGAGGGAAGTATTCATGAATATCGCGCCTTGATGTAATACCTAGTATTAACCAGCCGTTTCTGAAAACGCAGCACAAGAGGTCGGTGGACGATGACCTACGGATACGACGTCGCTGTGTCGGACAGGTCCAAGGAGCTCGATACGATCTTGGAGTAGGTGTTTCTCTCTCATCTGTAAGAGGTCGATGAGCTTGGGACCGTCACCACCTTGTTTGATTGGTTTTTTATTGTGTTAGTTTCACGCTTGAAGGCGGGGGAGAAAGGGTTTTACCGATTAGGAAACGGACGTTGGGGAAAGCAGCACATATTCGAGGCGCAGTTGCAACGAGCAGATCGATTCCTTTGCGGTAAGCCAGACGAGACAACACGACGATCGTGACTGTTTCTAATTGTAAGCCCGTTGTAGAGAGTGAGATGGGACACAAGGTCTTACTGATATCAGAGGGTTTCGGTCGAACCGGCTTGAAATCATCTGCGATAAGAGCGTTGGGGATGACGTAGACGTTTTGTCGCACGACAAGCTTGGAAGTATTTTGAGGGTCTGGTTCGAAAAGTTCACCACGCAGAACTGTATTTTCACGTCTGAACGTATAAACACAGCGGTCAATGAGGGGTTGGGTGGTGTCAACCAACACATGTCGAACACCCACCCGGTGTGAGAGACACAAATGACTGCATCGACATTCTTCAGTGTCCCAACAAGGAGCTTGTTCGTCAAGATGCTTGCTGCATCTTCGAAACCAAACAGACTATGGTCCGTGAAGACGGTACGGATTCCCATCAGGTGGGAGTGCAAGATTCCCTCATGGCCGATGGAAGAAAGACTGGCATGAGCGTGAATCAGGTGTATATGCTCTCTTAGGAGAATCGTTCGGAGGTATGGCAGTGAGGTGAAAAAATTTGGAAGAGTAGCTGATGATGCTATAGGAAGAAATGGAAGGTAATAGACCTTCAATGACGGGAGCAGCCAGCGGACACCAACGCGGTCAGGAGCATGACTGTGTGTAATGACAATGACCTTTTTTGAGCTGTTATTCATTCGCTCATCTTGCTAACCTGGTTGATCAACCTACTTTGTGACCTTTCTGTATTAATGTCGCACTCAGCATGTAAATGTGGTTCTCTACGCCGCCGACATTGGGATGGAAAAAGTCGGAAATCATTCTAATACATACAAAGGACTCGTTGAGCTCTTTGCACGCGTCCTAGTCTATAGCACTTACGCAATAGATATTGGATGCATCGTGAATTGCTGTCAACTTGCTAGATGTCCCATCATTACCTGAATCGGCCCGTCGATCCGGGACCCACTTCAGGCTGCTCCAACTTTTGTCCCCTTCTGAGGCTCACATATCTACATCCTCACGCAATGACCTTGGAGGTCCAGAAACAGGACGTTGTAGTGCTTGGTGCCGGTAAATCATGACATCCGTTTAAACCTCGACCAGGCCATTAATACGGGCATCTGTCAGGTGTGGTAGGTTTAACCACTGCGGTAAGGATTCAAGAAACTGGAAAGTATAATGTGTCGATTTTGGCCGAGGTGCTACCCATGGATCAGAAAACGATCAAGTATACCAGTCATTGGGCTGTAAGACCTTGTTTATTCGCTTGTTCTTCTGATAGAATATTCATGGGCTGATGAATAGGGTGCTCACCAT